CTATGCATGGGCACCACAAGGGTAGTGCGGCCCTCCCCAGGTGACCACCTTTGGTGTCCCCCCCCCCCCCCTCTAAAAAGTCCATGCCCCACAGCTGTACGCGAGAGAGGAGGGGACTCCTTCTCTCTGCCGACGTCCAACACCGAAATGGCTGTCGACAGTTAGTGACGGTAAACCTTGCTCCCCTTTTTTTTTTTGTAAGGAAGGCACAGATGGTATGCAGCCCTGTTATTTATTTATTTTAAATGTTAAAATTTCTTGTTTTCTAGTGGGTCCCTGCATGGGTGCCTACATCAGCTAAGCGGCTGCTGTGGAAGCACCGTGCGTGGGTGTTCCTGGCACTTGTACCAGAAGTGTTCCACTAATTCTCCCCTGTAAATTAATAGTTCTCAGCCTGGAGCCGATCCATGTTTCTCCTCAGATCCCTGCCTGTATGGGCTGAGGCAGCAGGGATCCGAGCAGAAAGGGACTGTGGGGGGTGTTTGGGAGGACGGAGACACTTGTCAGGATGGCAGAGTAGTGTGCAGTTAGGAGAGAGAGGACACGATGTCATCCTGTCGGTTTCAGGATGACAGTGGCCCTGTGCGTGACCGAGCGGAGGATCGGTAGATATTTACTGATCCTCTGTGCAGAACTAACACATGAGTGGTGGCTGATCACGCCAGTGTTAGTACTATGTGTCCCCAGTTGTTTACAATGTGTCCCTAGTTATGAAAGAACAGGAAGCGCTTTTCATCACTTCCTGCTCATTCATGAGTTTCTGAATGTGGAGAAGCACTCGGTACAGAGGCTTCTACCCATTCATAACTGGTGATAGCAAGTATTGATAGTAAAATATTTACTATCACCAGTTTTCTGAATGAATGGGAAGTCTCCGTACTGAGTGATTTCAATTTCAATTAACTTGTAACAGAGGCGGCAGAAAAATATTGAGGACTCTTATTTCAAAATAGAAATATTTGTACCCCTGATATTTCTCTGAAGCGCCATGCGTTGTTAGAGCGCTTGGGTTTTCTTTGTTTTTAACTGGCATCGCATGTGAAAGCGTTGATTCATTGCTGTCCGTTGTCATAAGCTTTGTTGCGTTTAAATGTACGCCATTATTTTACACAGCAGAAACGATTAACATAAGTCGCTTATTTACGTTTTGGGGATGTTCTTTTTTTTCCATGTGCTGATACTGATTTTAGTGTGCTTTATCAATTGAATTGTGTATTTTTTAAATCAGTTTTAATAGTGATTTAACAAACATTGGCGCAATTATCGCAGGACCTACAAAATTAGTAGCACCATCTTTTTATTCCACCGCGCCGGTGCTTTCAGAAAATATATGGTTTGGGGGTCTTTTACAAACGTTGGCAGTGCAGCAGTAGAAAATAAAAACAATGGGAAAAATGTGTGGCCAGCTGAGGTTAAAAGCTTTCAAAGGAGCTTGGCACCGAAAGGATTAAATAAACCAGCCCATTCCAGATTACTGTAGCTATTTAAGCCATTACTGAGTAAATATGTTTAAATTCAGGGTTAAAAACTTTCTATACCATTTGTATTTTTTTTTTTTTTTTCCAGTGTAGTGTTCCATTTCATATAAACATATATCATATATGCATCAGGGTTTGTTTGTGTTTTCTGCAGGAAGCAAGCTGTGAAAATGTAGTTGTGCCTCCTGGAAGTTATGTGAAAGTGTCAGGACACCTTCGTTCCTTTCAGGTACTATAGCTGTACAAATGTTTACATGTGGTATAATGCATTGTTCTATTAATGCTGGATAGAATGGTATTCTACAGACATTTTGATTTCCATAACCTACCTAACATTATTTTCTTTCAAAATGCCTCTGAAATTCCATCTGGCACCTAGAATTTTTTTAACTTTGTTTTCATAGGAAACGCATTCTTTGCCCATTAAGCGACCTTTATGTTGAGAAATATAAATCACATTTTTAATTCTGAAATCTGTGTAAAGCAAATACATTTATTTTTTTCTTTGGTGACTTCAGTCAAGACTTTAACCTTTTCGTGATGGGAGACATAGACTGTACGTCCAGCCACGGAGTGCCCAGATGACTGCGGACACTGTACGTGATCGGCTATTCAGGGCTCTGTAATGCTGGTAACCGGCGGTTACCGTTCATTAATGGATGCCTCGGTATTGAGGCATCTATTAATGAAAGAGTTGAGCCCTTTCAGACACCAAAGCAAAGCAGAATTTACTGTTCTCACTAACAGCTGACATAGGATGGGGAAATCCCGATTGTATACCGCCTTTTTTTTTTTTTCTTCTAAACTTTCAGAAATGGAAACCTTTTAGATACATGGTTTTATTGCTGGTTTTATTGCTGATACAATGTTGCAGGTTTTCTGATTGTTGTTGGAACGATCGGAAAACCTTTAGTGACATCTGATCCTGAAATGCTACAGGATCAGTGTCACTAAGGTTATTATTGGCTGTTCTTAAAGGAGAACTATGGGGTAAGTGTTTTTTTTCCCCCTATAGTTCTCTTAAGGGTCACAGGGGGACATATACTAGTCAGTCACGGCTCTCTGCAGGGACATGATCGGGAAGTGAACGAGCGACGGTGTGCGTTCGCTCACTTCCCGATCTATTCAGCGGACATGTGACAGTTTCATTGTCACAGGTCGGCTCGAACTATGAGGCTGAGTGATTTTTCACACTCCTCATATTTCTCTTTTTTTTTTAAAGTTTGAAGCAGCCTAATAATAACCAAAAATGAGATACATTATCAAGCAGTAATAGATTAATTCGCAATGACTGATATAATTAAAAAAAAGTTACAAAATGATATATTTTTATACCATCAATTATATAAAAATTAAACCATTACAATGAAAATCTGCAGCTGAGCTGCAGATTTTTTTTCTTCACCCTAAGGGGTTAATTTTTAAAAATGTAACCATGACTGATGTTCAAAGTATGTCGCTGTGGATTGGGTGACCTTTACCCTTTAGAGGCACTGGAAATTCTTCTGGTCCTCTCCATCCTGTAGTCTCCATTCTGGGGACAAATTTGTTAATGTTATGTCCCAGCAGGAAAAAACTTCCCTTAGCTTGTCAGCAGACAGCTCACATTACAACCCTGCAGTAGATACACCCAATGAGAAGTAGCTTAAGTCCTGGGGTACATTGTGAGTTCAGATTATTTGGAGTTGGACCCTCTTAATACGGTTGATTTGCAGCTTCTATGGGAAGTGCCTCAAAATGTCTTCCTTGCTTCTGCTCTTAATCAATGAGCAGTCTTGGCTCTAGGGCCTAAGGTTCCTCCACAGATGTGGACATTTTAATTGGATCGTGGTGGGTCGGAAAACTTGTATTTCCATGTCCTGGATCAGGTAAATAGGCCCCCACGAGGGTTTCCCTGTCAGGTTCTAGTGACTTCTCTGATGTCCATTTGGACATCTCTGCTCATCCTACTGTTTTCTAGTATTACCGATTTATGGTGTGATACAATCCACTCTTTTTTATTCAATAAAGCTTTTACTGGTTTTTTTTCCAAATGGGTCTATTTAAAAGTTTACAGATGAGCCATGTTCGCGATTTCCCCCCCCCCCCAATCAACTGGAAGGAGAATCCTGGGATTGCTGCTTTAACATGTTCATTATATTTTAATTATTCTTTTTTTCTCTTTTGTAGAATAAGAAGAGTGTAGTTGCTTTTAAGATTGCTCCTGTTGAAGATATGAATGAGTTTGTGTCGCACATATTAGAAGTTGTTCATTCTCATATGAGTCTCAACGCTCAGGTAAGTTCAAGTTTTAGCTTGGCTTATTTGATTTCTGTTGGTAATGGCAACAAAATCCTCCCTAAAGTTGACCTACGCACAAATGTGAAAGTAAAGCTATGTTGATGATATTACTGGCCTTAGTGCTGGCTACATGACTTGAAGCCTAGGCTATTGGTTATGTGATCTTTGCTGATAGGAGACTGTGTTCATAGTGGCTCACTTACTCTTAAAAACAAAAAAAACTTTTAATCAAACCAACCTTTTGGTAGTGTGATCAGCTTGGAGGGGGGCAAAGGAAGTATGCAACCCTTTTGTTACGCTTTAAAGTTGAACCATTGGCAAAATAAAAAAAACTACATGCATGATGCAGTCTGTCACTAGCATTAACACTGCAGTCTTTGTTATCCAAGAAGAGTAACAAACTAATATAAAGTACTATATTTTAAAAAAATTTTGTTCTTTTCCATAGCCTGGAGGTAGTGGATCTGCTGTGGCACTCAGTACACCTGGTCGTGTGGGCATGGATACAGGTGGCAGTTTCTCTGGAGGAAGTGATATGCATACAAATGGATTGACGCCCCATCAGAGCCAGGTTTGTAACCAATATATTTCCTTAAAAATATCTATCTGAAACTAGATGGATAATTGTGTTTTGGCTGTTGAAGACCTAAACTAGTTTTAAAAAAAAAAAACCTCTCTCTCCTTGTCAGATTTTAAATTTTATAAGAAGCTGTAAAGGAAATGAAGGAATGGGCTTTGAAGAACTGAAGTCTAGGCTGCATGGAATAAATGTGAATACTATCAAGTAAGTAAGAAATGGAAAAACATGCTTTTATGATTCTGTTGCTACCACTTTCCAGTTCTGAAAAGACAGGTTTACTAGGGATAAGTGTAAGCAGGCCACATTACGTAGATTTCAAGCTGGGACTTTTTTTTGTTAACTTGCAGATGTAAGGAGTTTTAGTGTTCTCTGATGGCTTTCACTTGTTCCTTGAGATGCCTTTTTAATGTCCATCCAACCAATGTAAAGTGTGTGTTGAAAGATCCTCCCATTGCTGAGATTATACCTGTTTTTAGCATATTGTGTATGCTCTTTATTAACGTCGCTTTTTTTTTTTTTAGACAAGCTTTGGAATTCCTCAGCAATGAAGGTCATATTTATTCCACTGTAGATGATGACCATTATAAGTCAACGGATGGTGATTGATAATTCACGTGGGAGCCAAGAAAGCACTAACAGTAACCTTGGAGACGTATTGGCTGATTACGTGAACAGACTACCACAGCTGGTTATTGTTTGGCACTTGTATAGCCAGCTATGCATAGTATATTGTCCACCACTCTTTTAGTACATAAAGATTCACATATAATTACTACAGAACCCTGGGAGGGAATTTTGTAAAAACATGTAGCTTGTGTTGATTCATCTGGGCGATGTCAACCAAAAACTACCAGTTCATTTTTAGGCAGAATAGTACAAAGATTTATTTGTTATACCAATTCTGACATCTTTAGACGCATAACCTAAAAGAAATCGGATCCACCTCGTATCTGCTAAGTGTGAGCATTGTTAATAAACTATCTAAATAAAGTAAAGGCCATCAGCTACAGTAAACAGCTGTTTACAGGAAGCTCACCAGGTTTAACTCTCCCTTATGTTAGTGTGGATCCACTTAAACTGGTTTCTTAAGCTTATCTGAGTACCATGTGTATGCAGCACTACTGGTATTGTGTGGCCAGTGTAAGGCTTGATTTGCTACAAAAAGCTAAGTTCTCCATTTAGATTTGGTACCGCCTTTAATAGTTCTCTAAAATGTTCTATTGTGTACTGACATGTATGCAAAAGTAGTTTTATAATAGGCCGTAAGGTTTGTTTTTTCTACATTCTGTAGTTTAAGTTTAGCATTTTTTACTTCAAAATATATGTAAATAAAACATGTAAAATGTATATTGGTGATACGAATAAAGTTTTTTTCTCTTGTGTTCAGGCATGGTTTTATGTTTGTAACTGCTTTTGTATGCATGATTCATGGCTAATTTGCTACAGACTATGTGAAGTGAGAACCATAATATGTTTACAGTTGAATGGCACTATTGGCCCAAAGTAAATATTCATATTATATCCGGTAGGTCTACAGGGATCCTGTTAAACACTAGTAGCCAAAGCACTATGGCGCACCTGGCCAGAGACGCCATACATTTGCCCAATCCATAAGTAAGCAGCCACACTGGGCACGCTTCCTTTTGTCTGTAGCCACCTTTTCAAGGTGGCCATACACCTTACAATTATTAATTTATTTTTTTTGTCCAGTCATCAAACCCCTGTTCAATTTCCGCTCGCATACCCCATCATGCACAGACTAATGTAGATTTCTATAATCGTTCGTCAGCATTACTAACTTGCTGAATTTTGTCGATCGACAGAACAGATTTTCATTTGCGCATGTGCAGTGTTGTGATTTTTGTTGTATGAAAACGCCACTAATTTATCAATTTTCATCCGTTTTAACAAAAGTTTTCTATTCTGCCCATTCAGCCAGTTGTACAGTAATTGCAATCTTGCACTTCCCATCAACTGGCAGATTATCATTCAAGAAACTGATCGCATTTGTTTTTCGAACAATAATTCTAAGGTCTTTAAGACAGACTGTCATTTTTACTTTTGGTTGCTGCTTTTAGATTTTGATTGTTGTATTTTGTATTCATACATGTTCCTCTAGGGGTGAGTCACATCCCCTGTCTAAAGGTGGCTACAGACAAAGAGGAATTGTGCCCAGTGTGGCTGCTTACTTATGGATTGGGAATTTTTTGCATGACCTCTCCAGCCAGGCATCTTCAGGGCATAGAGTAATAAGCCAATGTGTTTTTGTTTTTTTCTCGGGTAAGGAGAGTTCTCATCCTCCTAACGTTTCATGTACATCTTTCAATATCTGTGATTGCACATGCACAGCCTTCCACTATCCGAGGTCTGTAATTGGCTTATTCAGCCTTTCCAAAACTGATATTTCAAGATAAATGATAGCTAGCATTTCATGTATGACAAAGGAATCCCTGAGAAATATCAACTTAGGAGAGACCCTAGCAGTAGTTTCCTGCATTTTGGCTTGCTTTGTTTAAATGAAGCCTTGGTGTGAGTTGCCCAATAACACAAGTCCCTGCTCTGCATCCTTGACATGTGTCTGAAAATTTCACACTGAGCTCTGTATGGTTTTTTTTTTCTTGACCATACAGAACACGGGTAATTTAGGGATGACTGGGTAATATGCAGGTATCACCAGGTGATTGGATACTGGCCGGAGTTAAAGACCTTCATATAACCCTCTAGAAAATCCTCCGATTTTTTTGCTTGTGCCCTTAAGTCGGTGGTTCTCAACCTTTTCTAGGGCCGGGACCCCTTGGTGACCCCCAACGATTAAATTTAGGGATGACGCGACTGCTGCAGCGACATCTGGCAGCGTGCCGGGTGAACTGACTGCTGCGCTAGGAGAGGGCTGAGAAGGACTCTCACCTAGCACAGCAGAAATCACACAGCGACCCACAGGTTGAGAACCACTGCCTTACCCACGAGCAACCCCCATCTGGCCACCCGAGTATACTACTGCCCCCTCCTAGTCACCCTTGCATAGAACATCACCTCAAGCTTACCTGCAACCACAGCTAGTACCCCCCTCGCTGCACCACCATTAACCACCACAATCTAGCCCTCCTTTACAGTTCTCACACATGCCTGTAGACACCGTTACCAGTAAATGAATACACTATACAAGAGAAGGTAAGGTACTCTAACCTTTTCACAACATGCTATGCACACCATCACCCATTAAAAGACCTTCAGCAGCTTTTACAGATTTGTAGCCAATTCCCGGAATCAAGTTTAGGACCCAGTGTCCATAGAACTGTCCTATGTATGCCGTCAAAATGCATGTAAAAAAAAAAACACACCATAGGAATGCATAGCTAGATTCCTCTTGGCTATTTCACTTTGCAATAGCCAATAGCAAACTAGCTATTGCACCCGCCCTCTGCTGCTGTCAATCACTAGAAGCGGACCTGATGGAGAACTTCAGATCCCCCTCTGCTGATTGGCAGCAGAGGATGGGTGCAATAGCTAGTTTGCTGCTATTGCTTAATCAGTCATGCCCCAGCCTAGCTCTAAGGCCCTGTTCAGACCAAGACATTATAGTTTTTGCACATTTTTGTGTGCGCATATGAAGACACGTTTTGACTGGCAGCTTAAACATTGCAGTCAATGGATCAAAGTGCGTACAAACACGCATGAAAATGTGCATCATGCTTCTGACATGTGTTTCCTGGCTTTTCAATTGAATTCTATGGAGGAAAATGAGCTGCAAACTGCCAAAAGACGCTCATCTACTTTTTTCTGCGTTTGGCATTTTTCTGTTCAGGTGTTAACAGGGGCCATTGAAAATCATGGAATTTCTTGTGTTGGCTGTTTTTAAAGCACTTTTTCTACTGCTCAAAAAAGCCTAGGTTTGAACCAGGGTTTAAATGTCTGACATAGCCAGTAGCAGGTCCTGGCAAACGGGAGAGGAGGGATTGCTAAAAGCATGCTGGTGGAACTGAGCAGTAGCTGTAATGTACAGGCACTGTCACTGATTAGGTCCACATATTGTCATTTCCTAACTTCAAACATACTGGCTGCCAGTGCATTTTATGCAAATAAAATAACGGCAGCCGGTCAGCTCAGTAAAGACAAATTACAGGAAGCCGGTTATAAACAGCTCCGGCATCAGTATCACCATGCTAATTGGCTGCCCTAGAGAGTTGCTGTGTGTTTGGATTCGAAAATTGGCTATGTTATATTCCAACTGCATTTACCATCCTGGCTTCACTTTTATTAACATTGTCATGCTACACATGCTTTGTGATATGCCTTCAAATTATATTAAGCCCTCATTCACATTAGAAACAGCCGGCACATACAGCCGTGCATGCAGATGGAGCTGTATCAGGCAGCTCCCGGGAAGGACAGGTACTGTGTGTGATTAGTACGCGGCCCCTGTCCTTCTCAGAGTGTGCCGCCCTACGCTCACCCGCCCTGCATATCCGTACTCGTACGGTAGCAGGATGGATCCTGTCTGTGCCCGAGCCAGGAAACACGCACCCGTACGGACCTGCACTTGAGGTGAGCGTATGGTGGTGTACGGCCGCGTAGTCCCATAGAGAAGGACGGGCTGCGTACTAATCACACGCAGCACCTGTCTTTTCCGGGAGCTGCCTGATACGGCCGTGCAAGGAGCTGTACATGCTGGCTGTTTCTAGTGTGAATGAGGCCTTAAAGTGACATTTCATTCACACTTACCTACCACAGCGGAGCCTGGCGCTGACATCAGATGAGCTCTTGTGCATTGCGGAAAAATGCAGCATGTCTGCATTTTTACATAATGCACTGCAGCCCACCTGATGGCAGTGTGAACAGGGCACAGAGAAAACAATTGTTTTCTCTGTGCCCTTGCAGTGACTGCCATTGATCTGGTGGGAAAAAAACGCCAGTCAGTGTTAACATAGGCTAAGAACTGCTTCTGTAGAGTAAAATTCATGCTCAACAGCTAATCGTGGCAAAAATATACTAATACATATATAAAATAATACAAAATGAACTGGTTTTGGATTAGGATCCTAGGTATCACTATTTGTGATTATATGTATATGTTTGCAGACTCCCTGTTATAAAAGGTGACAAGGTTCTTTAGTAGGAGACAAGGTTTATCTTTAGTAATTTTGTCATGTGAAGTCGAGAGTTCAGCTCTTTTATTATTTCACCATAGGTTATTAGATAATGTATTTATATTCTGTTGTGCCTTTGTCGGTGCCGTTTTTCATCAGTGAGCTTTATAACATCTCTGAGTGACTGATAATGTCAGCAGCTGAAAAAAATGGTTCACTTGTACCAGGTGTGGTGTGCCACGGATGACATGCCCCCCACCACTCCACAGGTTATCGTGTCCGATCTGCCCACTGTGCTTGGGGGCGCTCTACATTACATTAAATACAGGAGAGGTTATCTGGGAAATATAAAAAACGTGTTTATGCTTCCCAGATCCCTTTTTCTTGCATTTAGATGTTGCTTGGTTTAGTCGTGCATACATGGGTAGCTCTCACCCCATGAAAGAGCCGCTGGAATAACCGGGTCATCACTAGTCTGTCTAGGGGTTTTTGGTCTCCAGCTGCCCCATTACCATTTAACCGCCCTCTTCTACTGCCCACAAAACTGATGTCCACTCTAGTAATGCAATGCTGATTAACTGTCTATTAAGCTTCTGCATACTGGGGAGAGAGGGTATAAGGATACTAGACATCCAGGGTGTAACAGACAGACCCCAGACCTCTTTTGCATCTCAGTGTAGATCCACTTATAGTACAGTGAACGGTAATTGAAGTAACAGATGAGTGGGGGATGAGTACAGATCCTCAGCAGGAGAGACACCAGCCATGCTCCAGAGGT